CTCGCCCCCCAGATTTGGAAGAGAGGCAGATCCCGGTGCTCTGGAGAGATAGGGAGTGGGATACCCACACAGCGAGCGGCGGGCCGCAATCCTCCGTGATGCGGGGAGCCGTCCCACGCGAGTGTCACGGAAGGGGCGAACCGAGGACGACCCAGGTCCCAACTAGGGAACACATGCCCTTTAATCCGGCTTAGTATAATGCAGTGGCAGCTTCGAAGCAGATAGATCTAAGATCTAAACATTATGTTTGTGATCTTGGGCTAGTCACTTCCTTTCCCTACCTCTCAGTCTTGACTGGAAATAGGATAACAGTCTCCCTACCTGGCAGGCTTGCTGGGAAGGTTAGGTAGGAGGACGTGTAGAATAACAGGACCTTAGGAGGTACTTAGTATATGCGGTGCCCTCCTCACAACCCAGCTTCTCCTGGCCAGGGTCCCCAGGATTGAAAAAGGGAATTCATTTAAATTTAAAATCCAGAGTTTCAAGGAAAATGTTGTAAAGGAATCTCTTTTCCCCATAAACGCCTTTCCTAACTTTGCCCTTTTTCAAGGTATGGGGATGGGGTCCCTCCCTGATGGCCATTGTCTTCCTTCCCCTCCCTCCCCGTCTGTCTAAATCATTCTTATCCTTACAGTTAAAATACCACTTCCACCCTGAAGCTGCCCCCTTGTCCTCCTTCCATTGGCTTCTCTGTGCTCCCACTGTATCACAAACATTGGGCAACCATGCTAGTTACTGCATTTGGCTGACAACAGTCCTTTAGGTCTCTCTTCCCTGCTCCTGGAAGGCAGATACCTTGTCTTTAGGAGCCCTGAGGCCTAGGAGAGTGTTGGTGCTGGAGACGGGTTTGTGGAGTGTCGTTGGACAGGCTGATTCACCTTTCTGGGCTCTATATCTGTGGGGGTTCCTTTGTTCAGGAGGGACTCCTGGGTGGCAGCCAAGCCAAAGGAGAGCGGCCTGGTCCCTGAGAGACTGACCCTGAAGCTAGGAAGAAGGGAGTGGGGGAGGAGGTGACACGGGCAGGTGTGGGAGAACACAGAGGCCTTCATGGCCACAGCTGCAGGGTGTGCCGGGTGAGGAGTGAGGGGCCCCCGTGATAAGGTGTCCAACTGCCTTGCTCAGATGTGCCTCAGAGGGAATGAGCCTCTCCTGCCTGCCTTGGCCCCTTCACTCTCCTCTATTTATTTTCTTTCTTTATTTCTATTTTTATTTATTTATTTATTTATTTACTTACTTAGAGACAGAGTCTCGTTCTGTCGCCCAGGCTGGAGTGCAGTGGTGCGATCTTGGCTCATGGCAACCTGTCTCCCGGGTTCTAGTGATTCTCCTGCTTCAGCTTCCCAAGTAGCTAGGACTACAGGCGCCCACCACCATGCCTGGCTAGTTTTTGTATTTTTAGTAGAGACAAGGTTTCACCACGTTGGCCAGGCTGGTCTCAAACTCCTGACCTCAAGTGATCTGCCCACCTCGGCCTCCCAAAGTGCTGGGATTACAGCCATGAGCCACCACGCTCAGCCTCTTTTATTTTTTATTTTTTGAGATGGAGTCTTGTTGTGTCACCCAGGCTGGAGTGCAGTGGCACAATATTGGCTCACTACAGCCTCTACCTCCCGGCTCAAATGATTCTCCTGCCTCAGCCTCCTGAGTAGCTGGGATTAGAGGTGCCCACCACCACGCCTGGTGAAATTTTGTATTTTTAGCAGAGACAAGGTTTCACCATGTTGGTCAGGCTGGTCTCAAACTCCTGTCCTCAAGCAATCTGCTCACCTTGGTCTCCCAAAGTGCTGGGATTACAGGCGTGAGCCATTGCGCCTGGTCACCTGTCTATTTCTGACACTTCATCTCTTTGGTCTGAGCCCAGACCCCCTTCCCCTGGATCTTTGACTCTGCTTACACTCCTGATCCCTCCCCACCCCACCAGTGCCCTCCAAGGTCAAGTGTGGGTTTATGGGTTGGACCAATAATTCCCACTGGCCTGAGGCTCTTCCACTCCCCCAGCCCCCCAGTCTCACTTCAGCTGGCATCTTTCCCAGTAGGGACTTCCAGGCTGTTCCCCGATGCCCAGGACCTGCTTTCACTGGCCTTCTTCTCCCTACTTGTCAGAGAATCCTGGCCAGGTCAGAGCTCCAGTGCTGGCCAGGAAAGCAGCTGCAGCGGCCTCTTACATCCCACTCTGATATTCTAGCAGCAGCCAGGCTGGAAGCAGAGAGGACCCCAGGACCTTTGAGTGACTCGACTGTCTTGGTCAGGAAAGGGGAGTCCTGCAGGGGTGTGGCCCATGCCCTTGGAATTGGCTTGGAGACCTGACTCCAGGTTCCTGA